TGCATGGAGGAGATTGTAATCATTGCAGTGAAACAAAATATGATAGGATGAGTGCAAAACTGCTGTTCTCCCATGGAAACTATCACTCAGTTCACAATAAAAGCTTTTTAAAAAAAATCAAATTCTGTATTTCTTATAGTATATTTCCTCAGTAGTATTCTATATGAATAAATTAATAACTAACTTATGACTTGATTTTATGGTACAAATAACATGAGAACTTAAAGAAGTTCAAATTGTCTTACCAAATTTTCACTGTAAAGATTGGTCCAGTAAATCTCAGAACTCTTAGGATAAACGTCAAAACACGCTGCAGGTATTTCACCTCTTTTAAGTGATCACTAAAAACCAGTCAGTGTCTCTTATAAAGAAAAAGATGACTGTGACCATTGAATGGTAAGTGCTGATGGCAGAGGCTTGAACGCTAAGCTCTTAATCTTTTTATAACACTGTGTTGTACTGTTACATATATATGTTACAAAGGACACACTGTAGCATAGCACTTGTACTAGTCCTATGATCTAGAATGACTTTATCCTTTCCCCAGGTATCTTTAAATTCTTTTAACAAGTACCCCCGCACGCCATCTCTTCCACTCCAGTTATCTTTCCTGAGAGCTCTGAATTCCAGTTTGACTGTCAGTGGCATTAGTGTTGTTAAGAAATCTGTTGCTTGGGGCTGTGCTTGTAGCAGGAAGAGACTGAACAGGAGAGAAAGTGGACATTAGTTACGAGGCTTGCCCCATCCTGTTGCTCACTCAGAGAGAGCAGTAGGAGTAGCAACCACTTTGGAGTTGACAGCTGTGACTGAATGTCTGGGTTTTTAGGGCATGTGGTGGCAGGTAAAGGAACAAGAATAAGTTCCTGAGAAATCTGATGACATCCCAGCTTGAGGATGTGCCACAGGTTCTTTCATTGTAGCTGCACAGTATCTTGGCAGCACACACAATTTACTCCCATAAATCCTTCATTCTGGAACCATTGATCGTAACGATAATATTACTCAGTCTGTAATAATAAAAGTGGGGCTTTTTGGTGACAGTGTGTTAGACTCAGGTCCATACTAGCAATACCGAGACATTTTCTCAAATTAACCTTCCTGGCTTACACCATTCATTTACAAGGGATGCCATGCTCTTGTGTCAGTGGGAATTTAATTAAAGCAAAAGGTTGTACAAGAAGGAAGTACCTGGTGGGGCATGTTCCCATGTTGCAGTCTATGTAGATATGTGTACTAATGACTCGATTTTAAAAGCAAAGCATAAAAAAGTTATGTGTAAAATTACCATGTGTAGATTTGTAACTTAGATCTAGTTTGTGTAAAAGAAGGTTTCGATGAATCTTAATGCCTTTTGCCCTTAGGTAATTTTGTGAAAAAAATTTTGCAGCCTGCTCTTAAATTAATCAACAGTGAAGATGATAGTAGGATTCCAGAGACAACAGGTGTTGGATCTTCCCAGTTTCCTGAAACACCAAGAAAACAAGGAGCTTCCTCTAACCCAGTGTCCATGGAAAAGGATACAAGAGAGAGTGGGACATTGAATTCAGAGAAACTGGAGAGACTGGATTTGGCTGAGCAAAGCAGCCCTGATCTTTCATTTTTAGTAGTGAAGACTGACATAGGAGAAAAGCATCTTTTTGTCGATCTAGGTAAGCAAATTGACAACTCTCTCTTATTAGACTGTCCTATTTTACTTTTGTCAAGAGGTCAGCCAGTGCTCGCTTGTCACTTTGCTACAGTGACAGTGGGAGTCACTAGCAGAATGGAACCACTGTGCTCAGGTGCTGAGAAGCTGCTGGGTTTCTCTTCAGAGATCTGAGAGACAGAACCACAAGGCTGCCCTGAGCTCCAGATGCAACAGCGTGGCTCGCTTCTACCCTGAAATGCCAAATGTTCCACCAGCACACCCCAACACTGCTGAGAGGTTAAATTAAAAAAAAAAAAAACAGAGAGGATTTTAAAACGGTGTTCTAGTGTGGTAAAGTGAGGCTAGGTGTTTTCTTGAAGGAAGAGCTTTGCAAGAGTAATAAGCTTGTTGGTAGTGGAAGGGGCCATGTTATCAGCTTTCCTGCTGTCATCCAGCTGGTGACCTCTTCAGTCATGCTTTCTTGCTCTCTGAATCTGAGAAACTAGGAAGTCAACACTGCAGCCTGCTTAGGTAACACACAGGCCTGATCTGATACCCCTAGTTCGGTGAATGAGACCTCATTTTTATGGTCACGTTCTAGCATCTGATTGAAAAAGCCATGAGAATAACATCTTTTACCATTCGCTGCTTGAGCACCTATTACAGAGCTTTACTGTCTTAAAGTTTAAATTATAGGTAAGGGAACATGGCCAACAGTGGTACCAAGAGTACGGAAGTGTTCTTGCTGTATCTTTCAGTATATCTTTCAGGTTCCAGAGGGTTGCAAATGGTTAAGCACTTGACTGCTAGCCAAAAGGTTGGTGGTTCGAATCTTCCCAGAACTACTTCAGAAGACAGGCCTGGTGATCTGCTTCTGAAAGGTCACAGCTTTGAAAACCCTGTGGAGCAGTTCCACACTGCACACATATGAGTAACCATGAGTCAGAATCAAGGGCAGATAGCCACAATGATTTGTTCATACAAATATACATAAAAGATTGCATACCTTTCTACCACCACTGACACCCTAGTGCTAGATTTGAAAATTTGCTCAGATAAGTGCAGTGCACTGGTCTGGGCATGAGTAATCATGTGAGTTCTAGTAGAGGAGCTGATCCTCTCCAGGAGGACTTTTGTTGTTGTTAAGTGTAGTCAAGTCGGTTCTGACCCATAGCTACCCTGTGTACAGTTTCCAAGGAGTGGCTGGTGAGCTTGAACCACTGACCTTGTGGTTCAAATCACTGTTGCAGTTTAGTGTATTAACCTGCAGCGCCACACCAAGACTTCTCCAGGAGGACTAGTCGCAATAAACTCAGAGAAATGCATGACACAGCTTTACACAGGAGAGCAGTAGTAACTAGTAACAGTCCTCTACCTCTACCCCTAAGGGGCTCTGGTAGTGTTGTTGTTGTTAGGTGCCATCGAGTCGGTGCCGACTCATAGCGACCTTATGCACAGCAGAACGAAACACTGCCCGATCCTGGGCCAGCCTCACTACTGTTGCCACGCTTGAGTCCATCGATGTTGCCACTTGGCCAGTCCATCTCATTGGGGGTCTTCCTCTTTTTCTCTCACCCTCTACCTTACCAAACATGATATCCTTCTCCAGCAACTGCTCCCTCCTAACAATATGTCCAAAGTATGAGAGACGAAGTTTGGCCATCTTGGCCTCCAAGGAGCACTCTGGCTGCACTTATTCCAAAACGGATCTATTGGTTCTTTTGGCAGCCCATGGCACTTTCAATATTTTCCTCCAACACCATAATTCAAAAGCATCAATTCTTCTACGGTCTTCCTTATTCACTGTCCAGCTTTCACATGCATATGAGGTTAATGAAAATACCATGGCTTGGGTCAGGCGCACCTTAGTCCTCAAGCTGACATCTTTGCTCTTCAACACTTTAAAAAGGTCTTGTGCAGCAGATTTGCCTAATGCAATACATTGTCTGATCTCTTGACTGCTGCTTCCATGAGTGTTGATAGTTGATCCAAGAAGAATGAAGTCCTTGACAACTTCAATCTTTTCTCCGTTGGTAAGAATGTTGTTTATTGGTCCAGTGGTGAGGATTTTTGTTTTCTTGACATTGAGATGTAACCAATACCAAAGGCTGTGCTCTTTGATCTTCATCAGTAAATGTTTTAAGTCCTCTTCACTTTCAGCAAGCAAGGTTGTATCATCTGCATATCGCAGGTTGTTAATGAGTCTTCTTCCAATCCTGATGCCATGTTTTTCTTCATAGAACCCAGCTTCTCGGATTATTTGCTCAGCATACAGGTTGAATTAGTATGGTGAAAGAACACAACCTTGTCGCACACCTTTCTTAATTTTAAACCATTCATTGTTCCCATGTTCTGTTCGAACAACTGCCTCTTGGTCCAGGTACAGATTCCTCATGAGCACAATGAAGTGTTCCAGAATACTCATGCTTCACAATGTTGGCCATAGCTTGTCATGATCCACACAATTGAAAGCCTTTGCATAGTCAATAAAGCACAGGTAAACATCTTTCTGCTATTCTCTGCTTTCAGCCAAGATCCATCGGACATCAGCAATGATATCCCTCGTTCCACAGCCTCTTCTGAATCCGGCTTGAACCTCTGGAAGTTCTCTGTCAATTTATGATTATAGCCGTTTCTGTATTACCTTTAGCAAAACTTTACTCGCATGGTATATCAAAGAGATTGTCCGATGATTTCCTCATTCTGTTGGTCACCTCTCTTTGGAATGGGCACAAATATGGATGTCTTCCAATCAGTCAGCCAGATAGTTGTCTTCCAAATTTTTTGGCAGAGATGAGTGAGTGCCTCCTGTGCCGCCTCACTTTGTTGAAAGTTTTCAATTTTTATTCCATCAATTCCTGGTACCTTGTTCTTTGCCAATTCTTTCAATGTACCTTGGACTTCCTCCTTCAGTATCATGGACTCTTCATCATATGCTACCTCTTAAAACAGTTAAACATTAACCATTTCCTTTTGGTACAGTTATTCTGTGTATTACTTCCATGTTCTCTTGATGCTTTCTGCATCATTCAGTAATTTGCCCAGAGAATCTTTTAATAACGAAAGTCAAGGCTTGAATTTTTTCTTCAGTTCCCCCAGCGTGAAAAATGCTGAATGTGTTCTTCCTTTTTGGTTTTCTGATTCCAGATCTTTGCACATTTTGTTGTAATATTTGTCTTTATCTTCTCGAGCTGTTCTTTGAACTGTTCAGCTCTTGGATCTCCTCATTTCTTCCGTTTGCTTTAGCATCTCTACGCTGGAGAGCAAGTTTCAGTGTCTCTTCTGACATCCATTTTGACATTTTCCTTCTTTCTTGTTACAAATTGGGCAGCTAACCTCAAGGTCAGCAATTCGAAACTACCAGCTGTTGGGCGGGAGAAAGATGAGGCTTTCTGCTACCGTAAAGATTTGTAGACCTGATAACCCTATGCAGGGTCACTATGACTACCCCTGGACTCCTAGTGTGGCACTGTGGGATAAAGCACTGGACTGCAAGATTGGTGGTTCAAACTTATCAGTTGCTCCTTGGAAACCCTATACAGGGTTGCTGTGAGTCGCAACTGACTCGAAGGTGTATAACAACAACGACTTCTCCCCCTAGACTCCTGGTGTGGTGCTGTAGGATCAGAAAGGGAATTTAAGCCATAGGATCGGTAATTCAAAAGCACTTCCTCAGAAACCCTATACAGAGTCACTATGAGTCAGAACCAACTCGATGGCACTTAATCACAGCAACAACCTCTACCTCTGAGTCCTGGTGTGACACTAGGATAAACACTAGATGGCTAACCACAAGGTCAGTGATTCAAACCCACCAACCACTCCTTAGAAGACCTATACAGGGTCACTTTTTGAGTCGGAACCGACTCCACGGTACTTAACAACAACAACAACAACAACAACAACTTTACCCCAGTATTAAAGATCTCAATCATAGTGCCTCAGTTCTCAATTCATGCTAATTTTACCATTGAAAGTTAGATTATTGGACTAGCAAGGAAAATTCCTGACCTTCTAGAAAGAAATATTTCAAAAGAAAGGTCAATTTGATGAGTATCAATTCATGAATCTGATGAATTTTCTGTTTCTTACCTGGGTGTACATTCTTACCTGAATGATGCTTTTTTTTTTTTCCTGTATGAATGTTATACTTAATTTAAAAAAAAGGTTGCTAAAGAAAAATTGGCATGTAGTATTAAATCTCTAGACTTTGAAAAGATAGTTTAGGAAGTGGTTAGATAGTGGAACTGTTGATTGTCCACAATAATCTAATTTGTCATTTGTGTTCCCTGCCAATTCCAATTTATTTTTCATGTATATATTGCTTTTATTTTGTTTACATATTTGGATAAAAATAATTTAATATTTGC